AACTACACAATAAACGAGCTCGATTTGGAAGAACGATTACAAAGAACGCTACACAAATATTCCATTTATTTATTAATCGATTTATTATTAAATCCTGCTATTGCTTCTGTGTACAATATCACCTGCAGGACAAGCATACATTTTCTCTGAAATATCGTCCTACAGTCATAAACAAACAACTGCCAAAACCCTTAATTATCTTGAATAAGAAACAAACTTAATAATCCCATGCACTTCTTCAATAAAGATAAGCAAAATTATATACAAAAGAAATTATTAGTGCTGTCAGCACAGGGTAAAGTGTTATTACGTAGTTAGTATCAGCAATTTATTATCCTGAAGTGTACGATGTGTTGCATACATATTTATAAACAGTTACTTTAAATTTATTTTTTAACACAAAGAAAGTTATTAAACAAATTGATCACAAAGGTGAATTTCGACCACTCGAAGCAATGGTGCAGTTTCGAGCTCACAGTAACTGATAGGGGGGAAGAACTAGTAATATTTAGAAGAAAGACTTAACCTTAAATTAAAGCAGGTATTCAATGGCGACATCTTTTGAAACGAATTCCAATCCAAAGCTACAACTCTCTCAGTTATTTGTTTGATTTCTAAAGTTACCCCAAAAGAACCAAACGTACACAAACAGATAAAAACATTTTATTAAGGTAGCATGTTATACACATATCAGTTTCATTTGTGTGTGATTACCAGGAAAACGTTTCAAAGTAACAAAATTCTCTACAGCTGTTTTATGATGCCAAAGGGATGGTACATATACATTTAATTCGATCAGAACCAATTAGTTGCAGTAAAATTAAAATGCTAATAAAACTGCACTAAACACAATAATAGTTTTAAAACTCGGTTATTCTCGTAATAAACGATAAATTTTGAAGACTTCAGTTTTCTAGGATAGATGTAGGTGCTCTTCCAGCGTTTTTATTTGCTTTGTCCCACTTGTCGTCTAGACAGTTAGTTTCAGACGATTGCAATTCCTGCTTGAAATGAAATCTCATTCCTATACCGTCTGAACTTTCGACTTTTTAAAATCTGGTCGATACTTAACAACTTTTAACATTGTTTACTAATATCAATTGAAAAAGTTTTTAAAGTTTTCCCAATCATTTTTCAAAATGCTCACCGGCATTACACGTCCCATGACAGTTTTAACTTTAAAAAGAATATATANTAATCGCAAACGTTAACTGCAGGAAGGACGAAAGTCAAACTAATCAGTCTAGATGATAAATAAACAAAAAGAAACCGTTTTATAAATATCACTTGCATGTTTTGTAGCGTATAAATGTTAAATTTTATGAAACAGAAGTAAGCACACCCCTTCACACATCCTTAACGAGAGACAAGAAAGGACGAACGTAATTCTAACCTTTGATAGCAAGAGAGAAGAAATAACGACAGTGGAAACGACCTAGAAGTTTAATTTTGTTCAAGATTTCATCACAATAAATCTCGTGCAATTGTAGCTGCTTCGACAGAATTTTCTTTTTACTAAGTGTGTGTTCGTCGAAAGGAAAGTTTTAGCATTAGCTTTAATGAGAACACTTTAATACATCCCCATAAATATTAACCGAAAGCTTAACCGATAAGCCAAATAGTGCGAACATTACATAACGGAAAGCTCGCATAATGTGAACAGCATTATGCAACTATGCTAGACCACCTTACACAGTGAACAAACCAAAACCTTCGCTTATAGAAACGAATGTACATTGACATGAAAAATAATATTTCACCATTGCTGTAAATCCTAAATATATTTAGTCGTATCACCGATTTCTTTTTCTAAAAATGATATTTTATTACTATTTTATGTATTTGTTGTTGCTGTCTTTGAATGAGTATGTACCTGTTAGTATTTTATATTTCTACTAGTTTTTACCCGTGGCTTAGTCGACTACATAAAACTAATTATCCTTAAGTGCGTGTCAAAAATCATCGATTGGTCACATAAAACTAATTTTTTATCCCTCGGGAACAGTATTTTTCTGTATAAAAGATACACTATGTCCTTTACTGTAGCCCTGACAATATGTGTACAAAATTTCATGATGATCGGTTGAGGAATCAAGGCGTCAAATAGTAACAAACAAATTTACATTCCCATTTATAATATAAGTCTAACATTGGTTAACGTGAACAAACCATTATTGTGAACGGTTGTTGTTCTTCTTATCGGTTCACACTATCGAGTGTTTCTGCATTGTGAAATATTGGACCTTTTCCAGAATTTATGTAGCTTCGGTGTTATTATATGTACATGATGATTATGGGAAATATTAATCGTTTAATCAAATATAGAGGAACACTGTTCGTCGCTCAACTTTTTACGGTAGTAATCGTTTAGCGTGAAATTTCAATTAACAAGCGATTGAAATGAAAATTAATGGTCTTTTATCCCAAAGGACATTTATAGGGCCGCTGGTATTGCTTACTATGTTATGTTTTACGAATAATATTATCTAAATATCTACCCTCAATTTTACTAAAAACAATGCACTATTTTTCTACAAAACATCTATAAACTAATGTATCACACAGTACATAAAAGATAGAGATAAATTTTTTACACTTTCAGGAAAATACAGAATACCAGAACGGTTCTCGCCAGTGTAATAAAAGAAAATTAAAATATTTTCTTTCTGCATATTAAAAATTTGCAAAAGATCATTATTTTGCTTTAATTTCCAGTATTTATTTACATATTTGTTCTTTGTTATACAACGATATAGATCCATTTCAAAGAGAGCCGTTCAAATTAATTTTCTTTCAAACAAAAATTTGATTAAAGCAAACTTTTAATGGCCTCTTTTATATCTTAATTGTCTTCAAAAATACCTTTTCTTAAATTCAAAAGCCACGAACTCCACTTGAAAAATGAACAGCTTGTTTATTAGACGGACTTTTGTTATTTTTAAGCGACAAAGTTCCACAATAGAATGTATGTACACAATGCCCAGGGACGTAGTCAGCTTTCTTTTCACATGGGCCACACCGTTATAGATTTTAGGCTCCAAATAAACCAAAACGCCTTGAGTTCTGGAAAAATGACACAATCTTACATAAGTCAAAAGTAGAAGATGTCTCAGCCTGCACGTTGATTTTCTACCCTAGTGCGTATGCTTTTCTTTACCACCCCTGCATTATATTATTACATAAAAAGGCCGAATAGCTTTGCATTAAATCCAGTGTCTTAGGGTAGTAAAGTTTATCGGGATAAGTTAATATTCAAGGTGGGCCAAGACATAAATCAGAGCTTTTAATAGATTTGCCTGGGTCACCCTGACCCTTCATAGCTGCGTCCCTAACAATACCGAATAATAAACATACAAATGCATTTTCATTATGTTAAAAACTGAGAGCTTTTTCTTTTATAACGAATAATTACAAATTCTGCGGATACATTCGTTAATAATAATTTTGCATGATTATTTTGAAAATCCCGTCATTCTGCTGGCGTTACCAATTTAATGAAATTACCTAAATCGTGTAATTTCGCAGCAGTAAATTTTAATTAGTAAATGGCAATATTTGTTTAATTAATAATATCAAACAGGGCAACTAGTTTATTCAGTTTTGTTTAGGTGTTCCTGTACATCAACTAACGTTGTACATTCATTACCTATAAAATTTAAATGTGAAAAGGGTAATCACAAGTACCAAAACTCTTTCTGTTCTTTCTATCTATTCAATAATCAATTAACAACGATTTATCTAGCATATCTCATTTATATCTTCCTAAATGGATAGATAATAAATTATGTAATAGAAAAAGATTTTTGTTTTTCATCCCCTTTCAAAATGAAAAAACAAAATCAGAATTTAGTACGCCGTTACGCCACCTAACGCTACAGAAATGAAATCGAATCCAAAAGTTAACGCATGTCTCTACGGAAATGAAATTTATAAGGCACACAATACGGCCAAAACGGCACTAGATATCGCTACCAATGTAGAATTAATCGTTAAAAACAAAGCCTTAAAAAAAAAAAGGAATAAAATGTAGATCATTTTCTTTTAATCGCAAACGTTAACTGCAGGAAGGACGAAAGTCAAACTAATCAGTCTAGATGATAAATAAACAAAAAGAAACCGTTTTATAAATATCACTTGCATGTTTTGTAGCGTATAAATGTTAAATTTTATGAAACAGAAGTAAATACGAAAGAATATTTTATGAGTCGAACTGCATACTCAATATCAATGAGATGAAAAAACGAGTAACTAATTCCCGATTATATTTTTATGAAAACGTTTGTAAAAAAAATAACTAATCATATTTCAAAATTTCACCCCTGAATTGGGAACGGCGCCAAACTGGAATATATTACCTTTTACGCGACATTCAAGGATTTCGAAAGGTATAAATTACAGCTTCGTTTCCTTGTGATGCTATCATTTAATAGTCATGTACTTTGTTTCTTAAATATCAATAAAACGAGAACTTACATAAATATAGGTCGTTTCAAAACGAACAAAGTAGGAAAAGGTCCCAATGGTAGAAATAAACAATAATATAAGAAAAACTATAAGTATAAAAGGTCTTAAATTAAACATTAGCTTACTTAATTTCCTAAAAACCCATACTTAAATACGTTTAAAAACCTTAATCGTAGATGAGATATTCAGAGACTCCTTAAGTACCAAAAGGAGCTTTAGGCTTTTACACGTATTGAAGGACTTTTGAGTATGAAAGTATGTCATTTGATTTTCTTGTGTAACATGTAGATAGGTAATAGAGGGCTTCAAGCTCAATTTTTTATTTTATGAATAATATCCACTCTGTATAGTTCGATTATAAGAGTACAAAAAAGGGATTTTGTTTGACAATGCCCGAAGATAAATAAGGAAAATGGTATTAGGGGTTTGTAGGAAGAAAAGATGTATTATTGAAGTATGTGAGTGTAGTGATGATGGTGGTGGTGGTGGTGGTGGTGGTGATGGTGGTGGCAGTGAGTGTGGTGGTGGTTCGGAAAATTCGCAACTCGCGACGCACGTTGCCGAATTCGGTGGTGGCAGTTGATCAGTAGCGCTATATCGTAGTGCGCCGTGAGTCGATCCCGAAGCTGCCATGAAATCATATTGCATACGCCCTTTCGTCGGTGGGTTCTATTTTACCTACCACAATGTCAGCAACATTGCAACAAAATGATCCAGAATCATTAACTGCGGTGGGTTTTTACTACCCTTGCATGATTAGACTAAATCCCTTTTTTTGTAAATATTTCATACGCCCCCACGTATGTAACACATACATATATGCATTTAATTAGCATAATATAAAATGCATTCGTACACTCATACACATCTCTTTATCCCTTGTTCTATTGTTATTTAGCTAGAGCTTGCATCTAATCACCATAGTTTGCTTGAGAAGTTTTATTAAAAATTCATAGTTTCCAGAAATCAAAAGTTTGATAATGATTAGCAATTCAAGGTACTCGTGTTGAAAAGTAGTTAATTAGTTGGATAATAGACAAATAGTTTCTTTCACAATACCAACAATTAAACGAATATACAGGGTGTCGCACTTGACATGCGAACAACTACTACTGCAATTATTTACAATTCATCACGAAATTATATATTATACAAGTTATTAATTTAAATGAGTAAGCAATTAAAAACAAAACCAATAGTGTAATGTTGTGGAAAAGAGACCAGCTATGAAATTTTCAACTCACGAAGGATTTCATTGAATGTTTTTAACTTAAAAGAACTGAACAAAAATACGTAACAGTCTTATGAAATCCTTTTTCAAAGCACTAATCATAACAGCAAAAGAGGCTAAAATAATTTTACGAATATACAAAATCTGAAATAATTTAACAAAAAATATTGGACTCCATGAAAGAAAATTTAAGACATTCTAATTACTGAGAAAGACCGTAGAATATAGAATGATTTAATTTATTAAAGTGCCTCTTTCGCTCAATTGACTATTATGCGATACAAAGAATCTTATATCGTTAGCAAAACGAAGTAAGTGGAAAACCCTCGTCGAAAAGTTTTCCATTAGATTTAAGCGTCGAAAAGACAAAAGCATTTTCTTTTCGCTTAATCTTTATAACATTCGTTTGGTTAATCAATCCTAGATCGATCAAAGCAAAAATAATCTAATCACAAGTGTTAACTTTTGGCTCAAATTCTCTACCTTTATTTTTATTTAATAACTATCGAACAATTTGCGTTGTTATTTAATTAATTTTCAAAAATATTAACTAACATAACATATTCATAACTTTCGTACTAAACATTTTTCGCTGACAAGCGGTTGTGTATTTCCATCTTTAATAAATGTGAACAAGTCATCTTAAATGTACTTGAAGAACATACTTAAAAATAAAAATATCTTCAGAAGTAGCAGCGAACGGTAAATAAAGGAAGTGGAAAAGAAGCTCCAAGATACGAAACCCAATNAAAAAAAACAATGTACTCCAATGGCAACTAAATTTATTACCCTCTCCTATATTGATCGACATTTGCGATAAACCGATATTGAATTGTAGACTGAAATCGATATTAATTAGAATTCCAATGTCGCCTACCCCCAGTATATGAATTTAATACGAAAAAAAAAAAACAAATAAATTCTATAAACACCAAATGCAAAAGTTTAATAAAATTACATAGAAAAAAAAAAACACTGGGTTTGTTTCACTAAAAGGTTTATGGGGTCGAGTCATTCTGTTCAAGATCAATTTTTTAAATCTTTATTTAATTGCTACATGTATGAAACGTACGTAAAATAGAAAAAGAAAAGAAAAGGGAAAGATGAGAGTTCTATTACGAATCTACATGTATCGTAGTAAAAGTTCAACAAGTACAACGTAGGGAAAATCAATTGCTTAATTACATACTGCAACATGCACGAAATTAAATACCATTTGCAAAATTTTATAAGTAATGAAGCTCTCTTATTTGCATTTATAATTATTAACATCGGTAAATTAGAGGCATACATTTTTACTGTTTTGCTATTCCCTTTTCTACTTATAGCTAATATTAGAACTAAATGGGCAAGTTGCTTCTCTTCGAGATTTACTAATCCACATAGGCCAAGACCGCGACTGCTCAGAATTACGAGAAAAAATTCGAAGACTAAGAAGAAACTGCGTAGAGGGTTGTAAATTTATAGCCCAGCTCATTTTGCCGCAATTGCGCAGGTAAAAAATGATGTTGAAACTGCGCAACGGAATTTGTATAAGTAGATACTTTTTAATTCCGCAACAAAAAAAAATATTATTTTACAGCGCTGTCGCAGAAGGTATCCCAGTGTATAATTCCCACCATGTACTGTTATTTTTCATGTCTCAACTACTTCTTCGCGAACTCACCAAGTGCCATAGACTTGTTCAAGTTGTACCTATGGATATGTCAGGCTATTATGGTACGTAAATTGAAAGGGTACTATCGTCATCGTCTTTGGCTGTTGAGTGTTTTAAATAGAATAGTACGAAAATACGTATTTAAGTAAAAAGTACCGAAATCAACTTTCAAATATTATTCCTGCGCTTTAACGTTTCATAAACGCAATAAACCTAAAGCAGGACCTTTGATTAAAGTATCTGTTGGGGTTGATTCGGAAATTATAAAAATATCTGAACGATAAAATTATTTGTAATTCCTATAAATGGTGATACTTTTATTGCTTTTGTGGCACGATAAAGCGCCTGCACTTTACAGTGAAGTCAGTCAATCTGTTCAGTTTGTTTATAAAAATGACTTTCGTGGACTAGACAGATACACCCGTTCTTAAAATTGCCTTACGCCTACCCTGAATAACGCCAACATCCCCATTGTTTCTCGCAGTAATTCCATGCAACCCATTAATTCTTTTGATTAAAATCTAACGGAAGGTTTTTGATGTAACGTTTATTATAAAAATGAAATCAATTAAATAATTAACGTAAGTCAATTTCGAAGATTTTCACAGACAATTAGTCCTAACAGAATAATAAACAAAACCTGTAAACTTTTGCTTTATATTTGTTCATTTTGAAGTTAATATCTCTAGAAATTCGACACTTCTTAAGTAAATTCTCCTAATTAAGACTGGAGTATAGCTACAACCGGTATTTAATTGACGATAAGTAAAAGTACTAACGAATTTCACGTTCTTTTAGGACCTGTACTGGTGTATTCTCGTTGTTTTGTTTGAATAGCGTTTGTCCTTAACAATCAATATGTTCAAAATTGAAAATTGTATTATGTATGTTGCGGGAAGCCTTCGATTATTATTACAGAAAACAATTTTTCTCTCGAATAGAGAGAGGCAAATATTACTCTCGGTTCAGCAAACACGAACAGTTCCATTCAATAAAGATTGAAAAATTGAAAAGGGTTGTAGCATATTCACCTACAACACAAAGTCATGATTAACTAAATCTGTTTACATACAAAACATGCTACACAATACAGGGTGATTATAAACATTAATACGCCAACGAAATATTACGTACGAGTAAATTTTCGAAATTTAAACAAAATATCTAATCGTTGTGTCTCATAGAAAAATTTTTAGAAAACCGGGCTGGACCTTCTAATTTGGGAAACGTCATTAGTCAAATTTTATTATGCAAGCAAATTACTCCTGATTTTAACCAAGAGGAACTGTGCAGTATTGCAAAAGACTCCGAAGAAATTGTTCAACTGCTAACTGAAATGCAAGAATTTCTTCCAAAACAGGAAACTAATTTGGGTACGTAAAAACTTGAACTCCCAACAGTAATCCTCAGGGGTGTTTTAATGCAAACAACTTCTCGGAAACAACGGAATGAAATTTTTCACTTTTTAAGTTAAACATTTATAAGCAAAACAGTTTAGAAACAAAGTATTCTAACTGTCGTTTTTACTACTTTTTTATTTGATGACTTTTAAACATTCCGGGGGTTAAAGAAACGTATAATGGATTTTAAAATAAACTGAAAAGCGTAACTGTGTTGTATAAACTTCGTTTATGCTCCAAGCTTCATACTCTAGATTTTCTCCTTGCGGTCGCCCAGCGTGAAATTGATCGAATTATTTGACTCTCAAATTTCTACATATTTTATCCTTTATCTATCTATACTACTCATTAATATTATAATACGTATTACTGGCATCAAATTCGGACAAGAATAAAACGAATTTAGTTTATACGAAGAAAAATAGTTATAACTGTAAGACGTACCATTGTATTAACAATTCTGTTTTAGAACACCAAATGGCGTTAACAGAGGACCTAAACAAGTGGACCAAAAAAAGTCGTGGAAGCTCTTTATGTAAGAATATGCGATTTTTATGTTGCATTCGAAGAACCAATTACTTATAAAAGTTATTTGCTAAATATTTTACGATTTCACACCAAATTCTTTGTACATAAATACATATATGTATGTATGTACTTGTTTCGTATAAAACGTGCTCTGACGTATGAGGGTACGAAAAAATATCGGTTTGTCAAAAAGTACCTATCGATGAGAAAAATAGCAAATATTTGTACGTTTAGGTATACATTCTGATTCTCAATTGAATACAAGAGGTAAAAAAAAACAATGTACTCCAATGGCAACTAAATTTATTACCCTCTCCTATATTGATCGACATTTGCGATAAACCGATATTGAATTGTAGACTGAAATCGATATTAATTAGAATTCCAATGTCGCCTACCCCCAGTATATGAATTTAATACGAAAAAAAAAAAACAAATAAATTCTATAAACACCAAATGCAAAAGTATATACACATATATATGTATACAACAATGACAAAAATTCGTAGAGAATTTCTTTTAGGGTTGTAACGGATGTGCTTTAACGGTTGCGGATGGGGATGCGAATTTAAATTAGGTTAAGCTTGCGGATGCGGATGAGGGTGCGGATATTAGATGCGGATATCCGTTATAATCCTAACTTCTTTCCTATCGTTCGATCATGCAACTTATTTTTATTAGATATCTTTACAAACATATAAAAGGCAAGGCAATGTGTATTAATAGTAGTGATTATATCTATAATCTATTAATATGTAATATAATTAATGCATTGACACCAACGTAGCACAATGTGATATAATATTTATCCACAAAGGAATATTTCTTTGTATTGTTCGTATATAACAAGAAAAAAGGCGTAGTTGATTATACATTATTATATAATTCTAAAAAGAAGTTAAAAATATATATTATGCCATTGAGATATTAAAATCGCAATTACAATTTACTATATACATTCCTACATAGATTTTAGAATGATTCCAAACCAACCTAATTTTAAGTAGGTACTAGGCACATTATTTAAATAGTTTTGCTTTTTCTCAAAATTAATGCGGTAATAGCTGAAAGGGATATTTATATTACATGTTATATACAAATACAAACTTTTCTATTTTCTTTATCCTAGTTGATAATTATATTCGGTAGCACATTAGAAATTTAATAGCAATTTGCGATACTAATGTTGACTATAACAGCTCAATTATTAGCGCGACAAAACAGTGCCCCATGTTCCAATTCGACAGAATGCTAACTTTTAATAAGTAGATCAAAAATGAATAAAATTGCAGTACAGGGTGTTTCAATTCGAGTTGTATTATTCTTGTAACGCATAGGAAAAAGAAAAATAACTGAAAATTCGGAGCGATATTTTGTATAGATGGTAGTAGATAATTTTGCAAATATGTATTAACACACATAAATTTTATAAAAATTATTTTTCCTAAAACGCACTAAGTTTTACAATAAATATGTATGCAGCATAGCAAAACTCAATCTTCCTAACAGCAATTCAATTTTTGAAACTTCGTACACTTAAAACTATGCAAACGTAACATCATGATTCCTTATAAAATACAAAAGTACTGCAAAGCAACAATACTTTACTTCTAGTGCTTATTTAAATAAACATTTGAAAAAGTGAATATACCGCTAGGCACTGTACTGTTAATTAAATATGAGGTACATATACCCTGCACAAATTTATGAACAAACAACGTTTAAAATTTGATATTTCAATAACTTAAAATAACGGTTTATGTAGATGGGCATTATTTTTGTGATTAGGTACAAATGTGCTACTAAAATTTTCATAAACTTGATATAATTTAAAATCGAATTCATTTTTTATAATTTTCTCCATTATTATTTGTCTAAACATATGATCTTTGTATATTTTTGAAATCAGAAAAAAGAGGGAAATGTATAAGATTTAAAAAAAAAAAAATTCAAACACCCCCTGTATAGCTGGGTAATAACAGTTTAAAGAAATGTCTAGTAGCACATTTGAAATCGCAAAAAAAATTGCATAAACCACATATCACTATTTAAAAGGAGGGGTATCAAATTCCGAAATTCACCCTGTATTTGGCGCCTGTTTGTTTCTCAACTTGTGAAAGAAAAATTGATTAAAATTAGGAACTTGTATTATTTAAACTAACTCAATACTATTGCTCAAATACTTTCTTATATTTATGTATGTATAAGTCCTAATAAAATTATAATCTAATTACATTTTAGCTTAAAATTTGTTCCTCACTTTGTTAGATACACCAAGTATTACACTTAACATTAGTGTAAATAACACATCTATTTATTAAATTTGAAGAAATATAGAAGTTGTTGAATACATTCGTTTTTTAATTCACAATTATCTGTCCTAATTGGATTGGATTGCGATTTTGTCATTCATATACAATTTATTAATTAATATTGTATACAATAACAAGCGTGATTCACTGTTTAAAATTTTGAAATTTAAATTAATATTCTGCTACCATAGATATCGTATCTAGATCGATTGATTAGTGCACCTAAATCGTTTAATTAGGATGTCTAGAGTGTAAATAATGACTACATTCTAGAAATGTAGATGTTTCATAGTAATGTAAAATAGAAATCTAGCTATTACTTTGAAAATGTGGATCTTTGGTTATGGATCTCTGATATGGAAAGTCGATTTTCCTTTTGAGGAAAAAGTGATTGGTTGTATAAAGGGGTATAAAAGGCGATTTCATCAGCATAGCACTGATCATAGAGGGACTCCTGAGAAGGTATTTTTTTCCATAAAAATTAGTATCAACTTTCTTCCAGAAGTTGAGGTTAACTTTTCGAAAATCTAAAGTGAATGTGTTTTTTAGCCAGGAAGAGTTGTAACATTAGAAGTTGGTTGTGAAGAGGTAAGAGTAACTGTTGTTTCTGTATTTATTTGACCATTAAATGCAGCTAAGGGGTACTTTTAAATAAATAATGAAACACACAGAATAACCTTTTCAGGATGAAGTATGGGGTGTAGCTTACAGAATAAAAGAAGATGACATTGAAAAGGTTTCTGCACATTTAGATTATCGTGAAAGAGGTGGATATTCAAAAAGAACTGTTACATTCTATCCAAAAGACAGTAATAAGTCTTCGTTACAGTTACATGTCTACATAGGTACTGAAGATAATTATAATTATGTTGGAGAAGCTCATGAAGCAGACATTGCTAAACAAATTGTAGATTCTGCAGGCCCAAGTGGCACCAATATAGAATATATATTAAATTTAGCAAAGTCTATGCGTGAAATTGCACCTAACATAAATGATGAACATCTTTATAAAATAGAAATGAATGTATTAAAACTCTTAGAAGAAAAATAAAACTTTATTCAAATTCACTTTGACTAAATAACAAAAAATCTATATTTAAAAAGTAACATTCTTTATCAACACATTCCAAGTGAGCAAGGCAATTTAGTAGGTACATAATGTTACTTATCCACACAAGATAGACACCTTATTCCTCCCTCAAGATTATACCTACAAAACTGTATAGAAAATACTTTGTTAGTACTAAGTTAACCAACACTTACATCTTGACTGCACAATTCTCACAAAATGTTTCATCACAAATTTCACATAATTGGATACAAGTTGAACACAAAGTATTTTCACAAAACCAACATTTCGCAGTTAAATTATTCTGGCAATGACAATTCATGCATTTACATATCCCATTTGTTTTCTGAAATCAGTAAAACGTAGCAACCAATTATTCTCATTTAAAAGGACTTACTTTCTTAGAACAACCTAATTTTCTTGAACCACGAAAAAGAATTGCCAAAGTTTTAGCTAAAACAAAAGAAAGTGTTATCCTTTATACTCTTTTACGAATTAAAAACGTTTACAATGAATTTTCTCTACACATTCATTGGCGTTTAATTCCACTTCTGAAACATGCCTTTTCAATTGTGGAGCAAAACTTTCTTCAAAAGGACACGAGCGTTTGCCCATAATAAATAACTTATACGATTCTTGAGATATTAATTAATAATTGTTTTATCAAAAACGAAAAAAGAAATGTTGTTTACGTTATTACTGCAATTCTTTAACCTCACATTTGTTTCGGCTACTTCTTCATTCTTCTTCTTGTTTATTACTATTTCATGAGAGTTTAAATTCTCGACAGGACCGTAATCAGAATATTTTAGAATATTTTAAACTGTGTAAGGAAAGGGGGTTGTAGGTAACATGTGTTGCAAAACATTTAGAAATTCGTTAAAAAGGTGTCTTAAGTTAATCAAAGACCATTAATTATTGTTAAAATGTATTATTCAAATCCATTTGACAATAAATCGTGAACAAGATAATATATTTAATTTATTATTTATAATATACTATATCTTTATATATAAAGCAATAAATAATGTGGATCATTACAAGTCAACCAGCCTTTATCTGTAAATTTTTTTCTATGAAGAAACAATAGTTAATAAGAACGGCTTGCGCATATCAGCACAAAAGAAAGGATTTTCCTTTAGTCAAAAAAATATATTTGTATATCCATGTGTTTCTAATATTTAATATCCTAAAACTAACCTAAGTAATGAATAATTGATGTACCTATAACAACATTACTTTTAATGATTGTGCGGTTGATCGAGCTAACGATTGACGTATTTCTGCTAGCTTTTGTTTGAGTGTCAGGTCGTTATCGTGCAGAAATATACGTAAATCGGTTCTCAATCTATCTTTGCTGATATGTACATTAAAATCACATTTAGATATAATAACTGTGAAAATTCGAACTGCTTGGGGATTGCGAGGCCCTACGACGCAATTCCCCTAGCTTCCTGATAACTCCTATATTAACTTACTAGAAAAACGCAATTCGAGCAACAGTCTTCTAATTGAACGAAACAAAGTGACGTATCGCCCTGCACCGACACGGTACGAATCATAATGTTTCGTCCTACGCTAAGTACCATCATGAAAATGGGAAAATTCTTCTTGGGTTGATGCTCAGATTTTAATAATAAAATAGTTGTAAGGAAGCAGAAAAGTTGCTCGTTGACTGTTGTACTAGTAAGCTGTTAGTTAATATAATTGATCGCTGTGGTTTGAATATTTTTTAATAATTGTGCCGTGGTAATTGTAAACAGGTTGCTTAAGACGACATCACAAATATAGTAAAAAATCGTACGTTAAATATATATATATATCACTCGATATGCATTTGAAAAGCAGTGACAGTGAACACGATAAGAACATCTAGAAGTTAAAAATACAAAAACTTTTTTAGTAATATTGATATAGCATGCCTTCCGCCGACACTGTTTCTGCACTAAATGATGTGGGTTACTGTAATGATTCGTCCACCGTATCTTACTCATTGTGTGATATGTATTTATATAATATGTATATTTTAATAGATATAATATTTAAATATATTTTATAAGACTTTTATATGATATGTACTGATTATTAAATCGATTGTTGTTATTTGATGGAACTCGCAGAGACAGTCGTGAGTTACCATCAGCCCTGAAGGACGGAATTAACGAACTCTGCTGCTGTAATATACGCTCCACGTTGCTTAAAAAGGGAGATAAGAATAAAAGCCTTTAATTAAAGGAGCATGTGGTTGGGGGTGTGCGAAGAACACAGCAGCAGGGTCCGGTATACTTCAGTCCAAGAAACCGGTATTCACTAACTTTTCTAAGAAAAATTTAACATCACCAAGTTCGGAATCTTTTATACCCAGTGATTTCAACATTCCCAAATCGCCATTTTCAACCGCCATGAATACTGAACGTAGATGTTCTAAATCAGATCGCATTAGATGTAATGCTGCTCCAAAATCTTCTATTGTTTGAGACTCTGCAATTTTAAAGCAGAGATAATTAATATAATTTTAGATTTAAGACTCTAAACGCTCAAAACCGGCGCTGATTCTCACATCAACGAAGAGAGAGAGAATCACTCCCACTGGTTACATTAATTTTTTTGCAGTGCGCAACTCATGGTACCCTCTCGGCTCTTAACGAAATAACTTTTCATTCAAACTTTCAAACTTTGTATAAACGACTTATGTTTTATAAACTGTCTTACCTGACAAAGCAATGGCTACTTTGTCCACTCCACCCAATGGTTTGAGAGCGTCTCTTGCTTTACTTCCAAAAAGTTTTTCGAGATAATTGGGCCCGTGACTTGCCAAAAGTGATTTTAAGAAGCTGCCTGTTTCTTCTACTGGTGGCCGTTTAGCTGCTGTACATAATCTGGAATCTTCGTCATATCCATCCGGACAATCGGGAGCCCCGTCACATAAATACTGAATAGAAATACAATTTCCATCCCCCGGACACTTGAAGGGTTCGTAAGGATGACAGGCGTCTGCTAAACATAACATTAACAGTTGACAACGCGTTTCTTACTTACCGTTCAAACAATAAAAAACCAACATTTCGCAGTTAAATTATTCTGGCAATGACAATTCATGCATTTACATATCCCATTTGTTTTCTGAAATCAGTAAAACGTAGCAACCAATTATTCTCATTTAAAAGGACTTACTTTCTTAGAACAACCTAATTTTCTTGAACCACGAAAAAGAATTGCCAAAGTTTTAGCTAAAACAAAAGAAAGTGTTATCCTTTATACTCTTTTACGAATTAAAAACGTTTACAATGAATTTTCTCTACACATTCATTGGCGTTTAATTCCACTTCTGAAACATGCCTTTTCAATTGTGGAGCAAAACTTTCTTCAAAAGGACACGAGCGTTTGCCCATAATAAATAACTTATACGATTCTTGAGATATTAATTAATAATTGTTTTATCAAAAACGAAAAAAGAAATGTTGTTTACGTTATTACTGCAATTCTTTAACCTCACATTTGTTTCGGCTACTTCTTCATTCTTCTTCTTGTTTATTACTATTTCATGAGAGTTTAAATTCTCGACAGGACCGTAATCAGAATATTTTAGAATATTTTAAACTGTGTAAGGAAAGGGGGTTGTAGGTAACATGTGTTGCAAAACATTTAGAAATTCGTTAAAAAGGTGTCTTAAGTTAATCAAAGACCATTAATTATTGTTAAAATGTATTATTCAAATCCATTTGACAATAANCAAGTGGCTTTTAAATAATAGTGTTGTGTTATAAACAATAATATAATTATATTTTTGAAAGTTTGGGAAAAATGAGGTGAAATGGACAAAAAAGGGCATACAGTAGTGAATGACGATATTGATCGGCAATTTCAACAGGTATACATACAGTGTAAAATTAAAAAAAAAAAAATACTTACCATTCCTTTTTGAGCTGATATGGCCGTAAAGTCTGCTAAGATCTATGGCCATAACAGCACGGGGAATAGCAGCACATAATGCTACCACCACCGTTACCAGGAGTAGCGGGTGTGGTGCTGAAACCACACGTACCATGGTTTGGTGGTAAGCGCAGGGAAGCTCTTCTCACCTATCTTCCAGCTCAGTCCGAACTACCCTCTTATCGCTTGCGGAATTTCGAGTTCATTGACAAAGTTTCGTGCGCAAACGCTTACTCTGCGGCCAGCTGTTGATCCTGTTGGATCAATAAAGACGGGAGTTTGCGAGGAAACTTGGAACACCAACACTACTCCCACACATTGCTATTGCGATAATGAATTTGATCCCTTTTATTCCTTGGAGATTCTTACACTTCAATGTACACTTATTACACTCCCTTCAAACACACCTACGCCATAAAAATCTCGTATGTTATCCATTATACAATCAAATAATGATTACTACAGTGAATAATATTAATTAATGATGAAAGGTTTCAATTTAAAAACCTTTGTTGTCTTTTCAAATATACCTACTTTATAGTTTACTATCCTTTTCAACAAATAGCGGTATTTTTGTGAATTACTGCCACAAATTATCAATGGCAAGCAATTCCTATGAACACGTGTGGTCTCTTTACATCTGTTTTATTAACTCTACAAAAGGAAATTTAATTTTTAATATATTTACCTTTTTTTCGCACATATGAAATGTGCATTTATTTGCAATATTATTCAGAAATAAACTGAAACTTATAAGAAATGTATTAATTTACAACAACCTAATTATAATATAACAATAATCACATCAGAACTTTCCTATGCATAATAAGTAATCAAAAACTTCAAGAAAAATACAATTTTAAATTAATCGTTACGGCCCTGACTATACTTGTGTTAGTGACTTTCTCTCGATTGGCTGAATAGTTAATTACAATACAAATACAGAACACACAGCATAACCTCAACTCTAGAGATAGCTATCAACATATAACACAACAATTACAGGTGAAAAGAAATACGTAAGTAATATTGATAGTATTTTAACTTTTATTAGTTCTATATAATAATTAATATTTGTAGATAATCTACATTAGAAATGGCAGATGTTTTGGACATAAATGACTCTGTTGATTTGGATGTAGAAGACGAGGGTGAACGTAAGCTTGATGTTTTTAAAACTTTAAAATTAATAATTAACTGTGTATTTAGAGGGAGTATTAAAGTTAAAAGACAAAGTTTTGAGAAGAAAAGGACGGGGTTTTGGGGCAGGTGAATCCAGAGAACATGAGAAAATTAGAGGCTATGAATCTGTTGATAACGGTGATACTGGGGATGAAACTGGTCCACAAAAATGTAAGTTCTAGTCTCGATATCTTTTTATACTTATATATAAATGATTTACTTTTAAGCTGTTGAAGGATGGATATTATTTGTAACATCTGTACATGAAGAAGCATCAGAAGAAGATTTGAATGAAAAGTTCTCAGAATTTGGAACCATCAAAAATATTGCTTTAAATTTAGATAGAAGGACAGGTTTCTTAAAGGTAAGTGTATTGATTCATTAAGATACTACAAATGATACAGTATTTTCTACTAATCTGCAGGGATATGCATTGGTTGAATATGGTACATTTGAAGAGGCTAATGCAGCTCGTGAAGCATTAGATAGGAGTGATTTCTTAGGACAAACAATTGGAGTTGATTGGTGTTTTGTCAAAGGATCAAAGAAGTAAGTTACAAATAAATATTTTGGTTAATCTTATAATTATTAATTATTCCAGGTCCAAGAAAAAGTCCAGACGTCACTGATATAAAGACAGAATTATTGCCTGATAAGTTTCTTAATATTTGTATTAATTGATTTTCTAATTGTATATCTGACAAGTGTGAAAACCAAATAAAACCTACAAGCATGTATGAATGCTATCAATAATTGTAACTGTCACTTATTTTGGAATTGTTTTCTCATTTGGTTTCTTACTATTATAGAACATTTACACTATTCAATTAACTTTAACAACAACATTGTTTTTATTTAAAAAAAAATTAGTAATCAAAAAACCTTTTTATTTGTTTTAATACTATACCTTGATCCTAAAGTGTAATTAACGCCCACAAATTTTTGCAAGAATATAATGAGTGTCGATCTTATTTGTTACATAAAATAAGAAAGGTGTGAAAGTTATCTTGTTAAATTTCTATTAATTTTTAAAAATTATCCATAGTTCAAATTTCCCTCGCAATTAAGTTTAACCTTATTTCATAGTCGAACCTGTCAATGTCAACATACGTTGATACGTGTAAGAGGTTTATGGCTATTCTAATACTCTTCTGACAAACACCATGGAAAATTAAATATAGCCATATTTTCTAAATATAAGTAACAGTATAACTTAAAAATTACTTTTTAGTGCTTGCAATAACTTCAGTTTATCTATTTGGTATTTACTACATCACGATGTCTTCCTCAGCGATTTATATATTAGACGTCAAAGGAAAGGTAAATTTAATATTTCTGCTTTATAAACGGTCAATATCACTAGAATTTTTAGGTATTAATCTCTCGCAACTATAGGGGCGATATCGATTTGGGAGTCATTGAGAAATTTATGCCCCTTTTAATGGAAAAGGAAGAAGAAGGATTATTAACACCTATATTACAGACATCAGAATGTACCTTTGCGTACATTAAAACCAACAATTTGTATCTAGTTAGCACAACAAAGAAGAATGCAAATATTGCTCTAGTATTTGTGTTTTTACACAAAGTAGTACAAGTAATGACAGAGTACTTCAAGGAATTAGAAGAGGAGAGCATTAGAGATAATTTTGTAGTCATTTATGAATTGTTAGATGAGTTGCTTGATTTTGGCTATCCTCAGACTACAGATAGCAAAATCTTACAAGAATATATAACTCAAGAAGGCCATAAATTAGAAATTCAGCCGAGAATACCTATGGCTGTAACAAATGCAGTTTCATGGAGGTCTGAGGGTATTAAATATAGGAAAAATGAAGTATTTTTGGATGTTATTGAGTCTGTCAATTTGTTAGCTAATGCTAATGGAAATGTTCTTCGAAGTGAAATTGTTGGAGCCATTAAAATGAGAGTATATTTATCAGGAATGCCTGAACTACGTCTTGGACTAAATGATAAAGTTCTTTTTGAAAGTACTGGCAGAGGAAAGTCTAAATCAGTAGAATTAGAAGATGTAAAATTTCATCAGTGTGTAAGATTATCAAGATTTGAAAATGATAGAACAATTTCATTTATACCACCTGATGGTGAATTTGAACTGATGTCCTACCGATTAAACACACATGTAAAAAGTTTATTTTCTGTAAAGGAAGTGTAAATGTTCAAATTATTTATTTTTAGGTGAAACCACTTATTTGGATAGAGTCAGTGATAGAAAGACATGCCCATAGTAGAGTAGAATACATGATAAAAGCCAAATCTCAGTTTAAAAGAAGGTCTACTGCAAATAATGTTGAAATTGTCATTCCTGTGCCAGGTGATGCAGATTCTCCCAAATTCAAGACAACAGTTGGCAGTGTAAAATATGCGCCAGAGCAGAGTGCTATAACATGGACCATTAAATCATTTCCAGGGGGAAAAGAATATCTTATGCGTGCTCATTTTGGATTGCCTAGTGTTGAATGTGAAGATAATGAGGGTAAACCTCCTATTCAAGTTCGATTTGAAATACCTTACTTTACAACATCTGGAATTCAGGTAATACTCTAATAAAAACTCTATTATTAAAGATAATTTAAATAGTTTAACATTGCCAAATGGATTATTTTTTAGTTAAAAGAGTAAAATTATATCTGTTATTTAATTAAATTTTTCTTACTTCAGGTTCGCTACCTTAAAATTATAGAAAAAAGTGGTTACCAAGCACTTCCCTGGGTGAGATATATAACACAGAATGGAGATTATCAGTTACGTACCAACTAACATTAATCTTGAGGATTTTACAATAAAGGAAAGTATATTTTTAACTTTTGACAAGCATTTGCTCTATGTTTACATAAAACTTAACATTAGGTAAGATTTGTGTTCTATATTTGTTATGAAATCATTAATGTAGACAAGTAGTAATCTGTATAAGACTATCTACATTTTGCATTCAAAATAGAATAATGCACAAAAACCGGCCTTTTTTCAGTCCATGTTTATTATAAATCACAAAGTATTAGTAAAAGTAATGTAACTTAAAATGTAACAGTTGCTTTAACTTTACCTAAAGTAATTAAATTTATTATTTTACATCAATCATAAGTTATTTTTTTGCCAGCTCATTTGATAACCAGTCCAAACCTTCATATAAACCATTACCTTGGGTTGCACGTGTAGGTTGAATAAACCACTAAAAAGTAAATGCTTTTTCAAATATTAAGGTAACAGATTGTCATTAAAACACTTACACGACGGTTGCGAAGCTGATGTAACTGTAACTTATCAGTTAATTCAGCTGCAGTCATAGCATTTGGTAAATCTTGTTTATTTGCAAAAACCAGCAGAACTGCATCCCTCAGCTCATCTTCTTGTAACTACAATTTTATTTGATTATCAAGTGACTGAAACTGACTAGCGGTTTCTTACCATATTATGAAGTTCATGTTCTGCTTCTGTAATACGTTCTCTATCATTAGAATCTACAACAAAAATGAGTCCCTGTGTATTCTGAAAATAGTGACGCCACAATGGCCTTATTTTGTCTTGACCACCAACATCCCAAACGGTAAAGCATATATTTTTGTATTCAACGGTTTCAACATTAAAACCGATAGTAGGAATAGTCGTGACGATTTCTCCTAATTTTAACTTGTATAAAATTGTTGTTTTGCCAGCAGCATCTAAACCAACTAAAAAAGAGGTTATTGGGAAATCAATAAGCACAAACATAACTCATCTTACCCATTAAAATTCTCATCTGTTTCTTGCCGAATAAACGTGTGAACACACTTGAAATTGTTAATCCCATGTTAAATATGTATAAGTTATCGAACCACAATAAACTATTAAATAAATGCTTTCAAAGTATCTTATGCCACGTCAAACGTCACAATTTAAATACCGTTTTTGTCTTTTATGCTCCTATTCCACAAATTAACTTTTACCAATTAAAAATTGGTAAAAGCAATTATAACATTTGAGCTTGTTGAAATTAATTGGTAATTAAAATTAAGCTTATTTTGGAACTATACGAACTAAACATCGCACCCTCTTATTTGTCATTCACCACTTCTTTGACAACCATTGACAAACTGACACCTGCACAAGAGCACATACACCAATGGTTTCATGGTTCATTTTCTCTTTGTATATCTATTATCTATGATTTATTTCATAGATTATAGAAAATATGTTTATATATTCTATGTATATTGTTTAATGTTTAAGTCAACTAGTTCCGTTAAAAAATTGTGCATTGGTCAGAACCGGTCAGAATGCAGTATAATCTTAAAATTTGTAATTATTATCAACATAAAAATTAAATGCTTAAATACGATTGAATTACAGTTGAAAGGAGGTTAAGCAGACCAATATCATTATACAGATCAAGTAAGGACTCGTATTTGATAAATCATCAAAACATGGTTTGTTAGATAATACCGAAACTTGGACCCTGTGTATGCTGAAAATATTAATCAAGAATATCGGTATGTTTCTCTTTGTAATAAAGATAAAAAAATAATACTTGCTACTTATAAGTATATGGATAAAAGAAATAAATATTAAAATATTTAATTTTATTAATAATGTATTACATTTATGTTTTTCATTATTAATTTAGTCATGTTATTCATTATCAATCAAATTATTTAAAAACGCGTATTTATTTCACTCCTACTTTGTTGTATGTGATTACTTTTAATATAGCAAATTATTCCACAGGAGTAACTCTAAACATCTTGTGTGGTTGGGTTTTGATTGATGCCTCTGCTGTTCACTCTAGAAAGAAGTTAATGGGTTTTGTCAACTGAACACAACTACAACAGGGGTAAGTGATAAATTTTTAAATTTTGTAGGGAAGAAATGTCTCAAATGAATTTATCATCTTACAGAATTTATTTTGATTAATTAACAATTTCATTCATTAACAAACGTCGTAAGCAATAGAACAAGAAGTTTCTAATGTTAATTTTGGAAATTATGTTTGAGAATTTGTTAAAAATAAACTTTTAACTATCTATTGCAGTGCCAGCGTGAAATATTGATACCCTCATTTGTGATGTCCGTTTTCGTTAAATAGATGTTTCCAAATTTGTCTATTGTTCATAATATTTTGAAGAACACTAATTATATATTACTTATTATAATTTTTGAAAAAGTATTTTACTGATTTACATTGATGTTTGTATGGTTGAATATACGGTGTTCTTTCCTCAGCTACATTTTATATGTGGTGGCTTTTCGCATTGATCTATTATTTACTGTTTATACATGTTTGTTGGTTTTTTATCGTTAAGTATTTTCGTGTTTGATGTTTTGTACGTAATTATTATAGTGAGCTCCAATATGTGTTCACAAATTGTATCCTGCATCTACATTTAATAATGTAATTTATCTTTTTGATTATGTCTACAGACTTCCCCGTAAATGAGAAAGAGGGAGAGAACATTGAAGTAAATTTTGACCTTACCGAAAAACAAATGGTGCAGTATAGAATATTGTTCTTGCTGGATTTCATTTAATGTCAAAAAAGGTGAGAAATATATACCACAATATAATTAATATATAGGTGCTTAACATTCTGTTATGTATGTTTTATATTTCATTCATAAAAACTTAATTCTATGGGGACCTTATAACAGCTATGGTTGTCTTGCGTTATGGATCACTTTTTCACTTCAGATATTGGTTACTAATGTCTTATGAAATCTATGAAATTTTCATTTGAGTTCTTGAGTAATAAAATCCACTGTGTTGCAGAACATCACTTTCTTTGCTACGTAGACTAAACAATTAACATTTGAAAATTGTTTAATTTTCTTTATAATCGCTGACCAGTTAGAAATTACTGTAATACATAATATTAATATTAAATAGAATTGAATACTAAAGAACCAAAATTATTAACCATATTTCTATACATGATATTTCTAAAATATGGCTTACAGTTGCAGTCTTTAATTTAGCCAATTCTTTCGCAGGATTTTACATAAACTGTAGATGCCGTTCGTTATGAAGCAATGATTGTAGTTCTCTCCAGAAAGTAGCAGTACCTCAAAGAATTGTAAAAGTGCCTTTTCTTTTCCACCGCAAAAAGATTACTTGTTCATTTGTGACAATGAATTGTCAATTGTCATGAGTGCTCTCCACAATCAAGAGGTCAAAATATGATTTTTTTCATAATGCCTCTTGATGATGTTAGGTAGAACTGGTCCACATAGGTCATTAACGAGGGTTGCAGTTTATCATAGGACTGCAAGGATATTACAATTTAGGTAAGATTGTTGTAAATGATAATGACGTTTTTATATATAAACAGGCATGTGAATAGTGTAAAGTCATATACACTATATTTATTTGTTATTATTAATAGAGAAAAGGTTTAGCGTTACTTTATTATTGTATTATGTACGTTTTTTTTATATCAGTAATATCTGAAAACATTCATATTTTATTTTACAGGAACATAAAAACTCCAGATTCCATATGTTACAAAACATTGGTTGTATCAGTGCTCTTGCACTCTGGAAAGTGGTAATACCCGAANATAATTGAATACTAAAGAACCAAAATTATTAACCATATTTCTATACATGTTACTTCTAAGGTATGACTTACAATTGCAGTCTTTAATATAGCAAATTATTCCGCAGGATTTTACATAAACTGTGGATGCCGTTCGTTGTGGAGCATTGATTGTAGGAATTCTCTCCAGAAAGTAGCAGTACCTCAAAGAATTGTAAGTGTCTTTTTTCCACCACAAAAGGATTACTTGTTTATTTGTGACAATGAATTATCAATTGTCATGAGTGCACTCCACAATCAAGAGGTCAAAATATGCCATTTTTCGTAATGCCTCTTGATGATGTTAGGTAGATAAATGGTCCACATACGTCATTAACGAGGGTTGGAGTTTATTATAGGACTGCAAGGATATTACAATTTAGGTAAGATTGTTGTAAATGATAACGACGTTTTTAGTTTATATACACAGACATGTGAATAGTGTAAAACAGTTAATTTTGTTAATAATGTCTTATTTCAGCTTTCAACTGTTAATTTAGGCATGCTATTTATTGCAACTAATTTCATTAAAAGAGTTAATTAAAGAAAAATATAAAGTGTATTACTGTCATTATACTTGTTTTTCTTCCCAAAACATAGCAGTATTTTTAAAGAATTGTAAAGTCATATACACCATATTTATTTGTTATTATTAATAGAGATATAGTTTAGCATTACTTTAATGTTGTATTATATACGTTTTTTAGTAAGAAGGCTATATCAATAATACCTGAAAACATTCATATTTTATTTTACAGGAACATAACTCCAGATTCCATATGTTACAAAACATTGGTTGTATCAGTGCTCTTGCACTCTAGAAAGTGGTAATACCCGAAGCTTGAGGAAGGCGTGAAGGTGCCTTTTACCGTTGGGAACGAAGAAAGTGTGCTGTAGCTGAAGGAAAGATTTATGACAATGAACTGGTAAGTAACAGTATTCAAAAGGCCTGTTTGGCGTTTATAAATTTTTTAAAGAACATCGATTTGCACTTCCAACCCCCAATTTAAAAACGTTTTTATTTCGTGATTATTAATATTTTAAATCCTGATTTTGAAAGCCGAATCTTTAATAAGTAAAAGAAGTCAGAACTGCTACTGCAGCCTGACGTTCAGAATACTTTGCAGTTAAGTGGGTTGCCTATATAGATGACCAACGAAAATATGTTTATATATTCTATGTATATTGTTTAATGTTTAAGTCAACTAGTTCCGTTAAAAAATTGTGCATTGGTCAGAACCGGTCAGAATGCAGTATAATCTTAAAATTTGTAATTATTATCAACATAAAAATTAAATGCTTAAATACGATTGAATTACAGTTGAAAGGAGGTTAAGCAGACCAATATCATTATACAGATCAAGTAAGGACTCGTATTTGATAAATCATCAAAACATGGTTTGTTAGATAATACCGAAACTTGGACCCTGTGTATGCTGAAAATATTAATCAAGAATATCGGTATGTTTCTCTTTGTAATAAAGATAAAAAAATAATAGTTGCTANAACAGATGTTTCCATTAGTGTGCATGTTACTGATTTATTTGATTTAAAAATGATAATTAATTATTTTTTCTTGCCTGTTTCTATATAGATTGTCCCACAAATGAGAAAGAATTGCAGTTAATTTTGGTGCTACTAAAACAACCGATGCTTTTGACGTCTTCTCTTTGCAACATTATGCAGTTAATTTTTGCCATAACAATGGGAGGCAATTTGAAATTAATTAATTTGGAAGCAACCGGAACAACAAATTATCTGCAGTGGTATCCCTTCAAGATTTGGTTGGTTTGCTCATCATATTGGTAGACATTAGAACGTAACTTTCTACAATTAATTATGGTAAGAATAAATGACTTCATTAATACTAATTATTCTTTATTATTCTGTTATTGAATTTCTGTTAACAATTATCTATTGTCAACAGTATAAGTTGAGGTTATTGTGCATCTATAACTCGACAGATAGTTATTTCCCACAGAATAAATTGCCATTTATCATTGATCTATCTATGGAGTTTATCTATCTATGGATTTTCTTCACTTATCTATGTCGCGTTCTATGGTTGTAATGTAAAATGGCGTAATGTTTATTATTTTATTATTCAACTATTTTATTAGCTGTTTGGTGCGTTTTTATTTGTGTTTCTTAATTATGAGTGTAATTAATATGTTTTTTTTGTCCATTTCTGCAGGTTATACAATAAATGAGAGAGAATTAATGTGCAGTTTGGTTATACTGAAACAGCCCAAGTCTACAAGGGTGTGGTCTTTCCTGGATTATATTCTTGATTTGCCGTTTCGTCTCCGGCTTGTAACACCATGCAGTTAATTTTCAACCCATCAGCGAAAGCAACTGGATATTTATTTGAATTCCACCGTAATAAGAATTTCTCTGCTACAGTATTCCTCCTGGAGTTGGTTTACTTTTCACATCTGTAAACTTTGGAATGTTACGTTTTATAATTAATTAAGGTGAGAATACTTGATATAATTAATTTTAATTGCTCTTTATTAATCTGTTTGCCACCGTATCTGTTTCAGATCGACGTTGGAGAAGACAAAGATGACCCAGTAGTTGAAATAGTTCTTTATTTTGCATGCTCTATCTAGTAGAATTCATTAAGTTCATTTTATTCAAATTAATTTTTAACTTCCCATTAGGAAGTTATTGTAATTGGGTCGAAAAGTGAAATCGGAATTTTCATTATATTTCCACGTTTTAACATATTAGTAGCATGCTAGCCAATTTTTTTGATGATGTGTGTATGTACGTACGTACGTACGTACGTTCGTATGTCAGCATGTACGTACGTACGTACGTACGTACGTACGTACGTACGTACGTACGTACGTACGTACGTACGTACGTACGTACGTACGTACGTACGTACGTACGTACGTA